TAATCCTGGCACACAGTAAATGAAAAATAAGAGTTAAATAAAAGAGGGGCTCCGCCTATCCTGCGTTGAAATACACTCCTCCTGTTAAGTCTCCAAGATTGTCAGGTTTGGGGAATGACTATGTCCCACTCTCTACCAACAGACATACCACTCTAGAAGTTGGCTTCTAGGTTAACCTTTAAGCCGATACTCTCCTGGACAAGAAAAGGCCCTGCTGTTAATTAAGAAATAAAATCTAACCTCAAATCAACAAATATTAGGTGCTGCAATGCTTTGCCACCCACGGCAGTTAAACACATTGTCCTGCGTTGTCACTTAGGAACCGGCAAGTGTGCGCGTCGGCCCCCTCCCGCCACTTCTGGTCCCTCAGGGTCCAGCCCAGAGCAGCGCGGTGCTAGCGCGGTGCTGCCACGGCCTGGCTTGAGAGCTAGAAAGACCTGAATTTGAATCCTTCCTCAGACTTTCTCCCCCTCGCCTTGAAGAAATTACTTAACATGGCTGAGGCCTTTAACTGCAACGCAGTGCCAAATATTACCACCTCCTAGCTTACAGTAATTAGAGATATACTTGAAAAGCAGCTCGCACAGAGTACTCAAAAAGCAGCGGCTAGTGCTAAAACTGGTGACAGACGTTTGAAGGTTAATCCCCTGAGAGGAAAGTGAGTAAAACCCTTATTGTGAGGCGACCCCATAGAATCCCCTCTACACAGCCACCTAGTGACACCTTTGCGATTTAGTGTTTTTTTTTAATCAAAATGGCCTTAAAATGTTCAATGTAATTTCAACGTGCAAGTGTGAACCCGGGGAGACTGCTACTCCGCAGTCCTTCCCACACGGCTTCGCGCGCCCCACATAACGCGTCCTCGGGGGCCAGGGCGACAGTCGGCATCACGCTGCAAGCAGCGGCGCGTTGCCTGCACGCCCCTGGCCCTGGGCGCCCAGCTCCGGACGCCGTGGCTGCCGCACCGCAGGCCGCGAGCCCCCTCGGCGCGAACAGGGCTCCACATCTGCTCCCTCCCCGGGCCGGCGCGGGTCGGGCTGCGCCGGGTGGCGCGAGGGCGGGGTGGGAAGGGTCCTGGCAGGGGCCCAGCCAGGGGCGGGCACGGCCGACAGTCTTGGTGGCGGCACAGGGGGCAGACGCCTCGCAGCCCGGGCACCCGCTGGGGCCGGGACGGTGTTTCCGCGCGCCCCACCCACAGAAGCGCGCCCCGGGACACCGGCTCCCCGCGACTCTACCTCCATGACTTCCGGCTCCAGCCCGCGGCGCCCAGGGATGACGTACGCCACGCCCTCCCGGCGGCGCACTTCCGGCTGGCCCGGCGCAGGCGCGAGAGTGGCGCTCTCGCGGGAAGCGGCGAGGCGTTGGGGTGGCTCGGCGGGATTCCGGGAGAGCAGCCGACATGGAGAAGCGGAGCAGGGCCCCGGGCGGGAAGTCGCCCTCTAACCCGGCGCCTCAGCAGCCGCCGGTGACGCCTCGGAGGGAGAGGAGGCCTAGCATGTTCGAGAAGGAGGCAGTGAGTGCGGAGACGCGGGACGAGGGACGCCCCTGGGCTGCAGCAGGGCTCCGGCGTTGGCAGTGCAGGCCCGAGGGCTCTGCGTTACGGATGGAGGGGGCTGCTTCGGTTCTCTTTAGGTTTGTTCGGCTTGCGGATTTCCTGAAAGGAGCCGAGGAGTATTGCTGCTCTTTCCAGAAATACGTACTTTTAGAATGTTTAGTGCCGCTGTACACCCCAGAGGCAGTTTTACCAGCCAAAATGAGTGTGTGCTGTGCCAAAAAAACCCCAAAAACAAAAAACTGATACACCAAGCAGAAAAATGAGATGCTTCGAGTTTTAAAAACAGCAGTTTCAGTATTTGAAGAACATATAACTAGCGAGAAAGTTAAATTGCAAATACTCTTTTCCTTCTGTCTGAAATTAATGGAAAAGTGTCATTCAATTTTATTGGTAGTATAACATAAGAATTTCTACAGGGCTGTAGTCTGAAAACCATTGTGGTGATCGATACTCCATCTTAATATTATAGAGACTTTAAGAGAGAAAATAATTTGCCAAGGATACAAAACTGTAATGATGGAGCTGGGACTTCTGGTCCACTTGCCTATAACGGTTTCTTTTCATACCTACTTCATGGGGCTCACAATTAGCAGGATGAAGGAGAGAGAACAGGCAAAACACTAATTGTTGAAGATCCTGAAATATTTCAAGTAACAAAAAGAACCTCTCCACCCCCCAAAAGTCATGACAACGTTTCAGGTTCTAATGACTGTTCTTTTGATGTCTGCGTTTTACAGAGGAAAGAGAAACTAAAGGAGGAAAAGCAAACAGGCCAATTTTACATAACTACGAAAAAACACAGCAAGGCTAGAAATCTTAAGATGTTGGACTTTAAATTCATGCTCCCAGAAACTATGTTGTATTGCCTCGTAATAAGTCTGAGTAAGAGATGGGTCACCAGCAGTGATGAAGAATATTTCTCTCTGGGGGCAAAGGTGCCTTATATAAACTTACTGCCTACTGAAGTTGTGAAGTATTGAAAAATGAGGAAGCCTGAATCCAAAAGGAGGGGACATGTAGGTACACTTGGTATGTCACCCAAATCTGGGGAATAGGAGACAAAGGCAATTCTTGGATATTTGGTATGTATGTGATCAGTCATAGCTGTCTTTAAAATCTGGGCTTCTACGGGGGGCGGGTTAGAAATTTGAATAAATCAGTAATTGGGAAGAAACTGAGAAAGGATTTCACACTAGATGTGCCTGAGGGGAGTGAGTCACTAATTAGTCATTCCCAGCTTTTAGGTAGCTGATAATTCCCAGGATCCTGAGCAGAGGAAAAATTAGGGGACACAATTTAATCGTTATAAATGCCTTTTGATTTTATCTCTCCATCCATTTATTTTCCTTTAGTAGTAGCACCTCAGTTTTCCTTTGGAGAAGTAATTCATTCCCCACTGGCTAGAGTT